CGACGAAGAAGTCATAGCCGCGAACGGAAGAAGAGGTAGTGCTGTGTAGTTTTGTTATACTTTTTTCCAGTTAAAGGGATTTAAATGAGTTTTTAAGAGCAGACAGTTTTTCAAAGGTTCTGTTGTATTCAATGGTTTTTGGGACCATTTACCGCAGAGATTCAAATCCTAAGTCCTCATCGTGCATATTTTAATTCATAAGTTCTGCAAAATGTATTTTTTAGAGGTAATTTTCTAGGTTATATGTGTTTTTGCTTTTCTTACAGAAGACGTTCAACAAGTGAGAGCGAATCCCCTGTTGACAAACGTCGTTCATCGTCGGGCTCCCGAACTCCGCCACCGAAGAAAAGTTCGAAGAAATCCGAGGCAGAGAGCAAGAAAAAACGTGATCGAAGCTCGTCAAGCCGTTCACCAAGCCCAGACATAAAGAAATCTAAGGAAAAACGTAAGGAGAAGAAACGTGAGAGTAGTTCGGTAAGTTTTTGTTAGTTTTTGAGACATGAAAACTGTAAGAATTGATTCATATTTCTACTTATTTTGCTACTACCTCTATTATATAGGGTAAAATATCCCTGGGCCTACCTGGAGTTTGCCCCTTTTTACTGCTTTTGTACCGAGGGGCAACGAGTTGGACATAAAAATCGCGAGAGAAATGAGAACAGAATGGATAATGTTCGCCAAGTTCAGCGAAATATTCTACAACGACAAGAAGATTATTTCATCTGCAAAAGCAGCAGTTTACAATTCGACCGTCCTACCAGCCATGTTATATGGGTTTGAGACATGGAACACCAAGTTTGCTGAAAAACGGAAATTGGCAGTCTCTCTGGAAGAGCAATGGAGCGGCGGATGATTGGCGCCAACAGGCTACAGTACATTCCAATTCCAAATGAAATGCTACGAGCCAGATCTGACGTGAAAGATATTACTGAAGTAATGTACGCCAGAACGAGGAGATGGGCTGGTCATGTGGCACGGATGTCAGATAATAGATGGACGAAACGGATAATGGAATGGCATCCACGCATAGTCAAGCGAACACTGGGAAGACCACCGGTGAGGTGGAGAGACCCCATGGTATGCCTGTACGGTATCGCGTGGACTCGAAGAGCGGAACAACGAATCGAATGGAGAAGTTGCCAGTGCTGCATCGATGGCGTGACACCGGACATCAATGACATACATCTGCTCAAGTATTCAGCAAGTAAGCCGAGGGACATAGCACCACAGTATTAAATAGTCCCAGTGTTTTGCCAGTCGAAGGTATGACTGTTCGGTGAGAAATCCGTATTCTCTCTACGATTCGTTCATTCATTTCGATGGTAAGGAAAAGACCCCACGGGCTCTTTGGGCCCTGTGGGCAGATGGAATTTGGAAATGTAGGGACTGAACCGGTACTGGGTGGCATAAGGAGGACGTGCATAAGACGACGAATTATTAAGACGACGAATGCTAAGGCTAATTTCCGGGTGCCTCCGTCTCTCACAGAAAGCAAATGTGGAAAGCCACTAGACTTTTGGCCGAAGATTTGTTCTATGTTATTAAACTTTGAAACTGTACGGTTTTCCAAATTTTAATGAACAAGTTTTTAAACCCCCAAGAACATGCGTTTTTGTAAAAACTTTGCAGTTGGTTAGTAAGAAAAAGACTCCACGGGCCGTTTGGGCCCCGTGGGCGGATTGGTACTGGCAGGAAGTAAAATCGGCCATCGGCTTGCTTGCCTCTAAGCAGTTTTCGAAGTCCTCGGCTTCTCATCCTTGTGGCTAAATACGAAGAGATTTCTGACTTTTTTGATCCCCTGACTTATATGTGAGAATAGGGGCCTTGTACACTGCAGGCAGATTGCGCATGATTATTTTTTTTTCAGGATGGAAGTGTAGCTCGTGTTGACCATGCAACAGTTAACAAAATTATAGTCAGTGGATTCGAGAATAAAGGCAAATTTGCAAAGGTATGTTGGTAAAAAAAAAAAAAAAAA